CGAGACAGGGGTCGTCCGGAACCTCCCGATCTGCTCCTCTGTCCACGCCCTCGCCTCCTCCTGTTCGCTCCCCCTCTCTCTCTCCCCTCCCGTCTCCTCCCCCTCCTTCTCCCTCGGCTCCGTCTCCCATCGGTCCTCCTCGGAGGGGCAGGCTGGAGCAGCCTGCCGACGTCCCACACTGCATCAGAATGCAGCGCGCCGGGAGTTGCCCTCCCGAGGTGAAGCGGCAGCGCCTCGAGGAGACCCCACCAGGCGTTGCGGAGTCGCCGGCAGACCCCACACCTCCTGTGTCTCCCCCCAGTGTCGAACTCCCCCCGGGACTTCCAGGAACCGTGGAGCGGGGGCCGGTGGTGGTGGGGACGGGACCCAGGGCCTCCGTGGCCGAGAGAGTCCAGGAAATCGAGGACCGAATCAGGACCAGGTCCAGGTCCCCCCAGAGAGTCGAGGGTTTTCAAGAATACTTCTGGGCACGGCCAGAGGGACATGGAGTGCGAGTGAGGCCACTGAGCCAGGAGGGGGCCGAATGGTCTGGTGCCTGTCTCGAGGATGGGGGTGTGTTTGCCGCCGGGCGGTCCGGGGAAGTCAACATGAAGCGTCTTAGTCCTGAAGAGCGAGAAAAGTTTCGGGCTTCAGACAGCAAGGAAATGGAAAGCATCATGAAGACGAGAGCTGTTGAGGTGATTCCCCCGGAAAAGGCAGCTGTGATTCGTCGAGAGCAGCCAGAGCGTATCATCTCCAGTCGGATGGTCCGCAGGTGGAAGCCGGTGGAAGGCACGTTCACGGAGCCGACGGCGAAATCCAGGTGGTGTGTTCATGGCCATCTGGATCCAGATTCCCGCTCTCTAGCAGTGTATGCGCCCACACCACAGACCTCATCCATCATGATGTTCATGCAGGTTATGCTGAATTTGTCTATGCTAGGTGACATAGCTGACGTAAAGAACGCCTTCTGTCAATCAGACCCCATGTCACGAGCGCAAGGACACATATATGTAGAGCCGTGCGACGGCACCAGCTTACCTTCTGGATCGCTGATTCTACTACTGGTCAACGTGTATGGGCTGGACGATGCTCCCATGGCGTGGCGAAAAACAGTGGTCAAGTATCTAGAGAGTCACGGATCCGTTCGCAGTCTTCTGGAACCCTGCTGGTGGTTGCGCTACGGAAAGAATGGCCAGATACTTAATATGATGCTGCTCGAGGTGGATGACTTCTTCATCGGGAGCTCGGACAGCAAGTCTCGAGCCTGGCTGCGACAGACGCTGGAGGCTCGATTCAAGTTCGGCAAGTATCGTGATTGTCATTCTGGCCCAGTGGATTTTGCGGGCCGTCGGGTGACTTTCCTGAGCGACCGAGCTACCGTGGACCAGGAGAAGTATATTCTGGAGGAGATTCGTCCTTTGACATTGGCCCGAGGTCGCCTCTCGGACAAGCGTAGTTTGCTCGAAAATGAAGAGTTTCGAGCCCTACGATCGTTAGTATACAAATTCAACTGGGTGGGCCGAGAGGCTCGCCCCGAGGCGGCCGGCATCGCCAGCATCCTCGCTAGCCGCCTGAAGGCAGCAACCGTGGCCGATGTGGCACTAGCTAACAAGCTCGTCAAGCATCTGAGGGGAACGGCCTCGAGAGGAATCATTCTCTGGAAGCTGGACCCCGACCGCATGGCGTTCGTGTCCTTCTCGGACGCAGGCGGTGTCGGAGCTTCGGAGGATTTGACAGATGACAAGGGACTGCCAGCTGATCCGACGCAGGGCGCGTGGATGGCGCTGGCTACCGACAGATCACTACTAGACAATCGTTCCGTCAAGGCCTCCATCTTGGGATGGCGGCCCTGCAAGCTCAGGAGGAAGGTTCCCTCCACGTTGGTGGGAGAGACTCAGGCTCTCACAGCAGCTGTCGCCGAGGTAGAGTACCTGCAGGTGCTCTACCGCGATGTGGTGTTTCGCGACGTGGACGTTCCCGACTGCCTCCGAGCCGCGGGGCCCTTCACTACGGCCCTTCGGCGAGACTGCCGCTTGGGCTCTAGAGAGCGACAGGTGCACGTCGTGGACGCGAAGTCGATCTACGATACCATGCAGAAAGAGGGCAACGCCAGCGCCAGAGACCGGCGTACGGCTCTCGATCTGGCGATCATCAGTGAATCGCTGGAGCGTGCTCAAGGAAGAGTTCGATGGATTCCCCGCGGGCGCATGCCCGTCGACTCGCTCACGAAGGACGATATCACCAAGAGCAACGCAGCGCTGTTCGACCTGATGTCGCATGGTCGTCTGCGTCTCATCGACGAGGAGGAGGAGGTGATGAGGAGGAAGGACCAGCCCGAGCTCAAGGACAGGTCTCAGGCAGCTTCCCGTCGGGCATTGGCTATGTTGTCGTGGAAGGAGTTGCTTGTCCAGTCGGTGTCGCTGGAGGAGCCCGGTGATGGTGGTGGTGGTTTCCCGACCTCTCCTCTCTCCCCCTCCCCGACAGCTCCCGCCGACTTGCAGGCATCTGTCTTTCAGTAATCTCCGCTCTGTCTGCCATCGCCGTTTTGGCCTCTTAATGTTCTCCGCTTTCTTTCTTTTCGTTTGAGCGTCTCGAAGCAGGGGTCGAGTACGCTACTGTTCTGGGTGCAGGACAGCGCACTGTGGCTTATCCTAGCCGATATTTAAGGGTGCTAAACCTAGGAGAAATTCTGACCCGTGTGACAAGGGTCTAGATTTTCACGAATAGGTTTAGCGCGATGTTTCATCCAGGGGATCTTTGACAGAGTGCGCCTGTGTCCGTACCTGTGGCTCAAGGCAAAACATTCGTTTGCTCCTGCTGCTGCCACAATAGCATAGCAGAGCAGAGCATAGCATAGCAGCAAAGCAAAGGCAAAGCAACCGCAGTTGCTTAAAGGGGCCAGGCAGTGGAACGCGCCCTGGGCGGTTCCCCCGGCATCCGCCCCGCGGTTCCCCCAGTGACGTTTCCTTAGCTTAGCGTTGCTTATCTCATCTTAGTTTAGCTTATTTCATCTTAGTTTAGCTTAGCTTTATCTTAGCTCAGGTTTATCTTAGCTTAACTTACCGTCATCTTGGCTTCGCTGAGCTTTAGCATAGCAGAGCACAGCATAGCATCGCATAGCGTAGCACAGCATAGCTCAGCACAACATATCATAGCATAGCCCAGCATAGCATAACATAGCGCAGCATAACATAGCATAGCATATCATAGCGCAGCACAGCACGGCACAGCACAGCGCAGCATATCATAGCAGAGCAGAGCATAGCATAGCATAGCGCAGCACTGCATCCACGATTGCTGCTATATATATATATGTGTGTGTGTACTTAGATGTGTGTGTGCGCACGTATGTTCCACAGCGCGTATGTGTGGGGGCGTTCCTACTACTACGTTGTCTTCTTTTTCTTCTACTACTACTACTACTACTACTACTACTACTACTACTACTACTACTACTACTACTACTACTACTACTACCGCTACTGCTACAACTACGACGACGAGGAGAAGGAGGAGGACGGCGTTCACCGCTCCTGCTAATGCTGCTTTCCTACAGGCTCCAACTCCTAGGTAGGGTCGCACTGGGATAATTTACTGCGGTTCTCGCTTCAGCGCCGCGCACATTCATCTTAAAAGTCTGCGTCGCCTTCACGGGTGGATGGCCCGCCGTTTTCAAAATGTGGTTGCCGCCTTAGCGCCGCGCACATTCGTCTCCATTTGTTCAACCGTTTCGCGGATGGAGTGCGTTCCGTTTTCGGAATGCGGTTGTCGCTTGAGCGCCGCGCACGTTGGCTTCCAACGTTCCCAACAGCTTCACGGATGGAGGGCGGGTTGTTTGGGAAATGCAGATCTCGCTTTAACGCCGCGCGCATTCGGTTTCAAAATGGTATGTGCTTCCAGATGTGGTTCTCGCCTCAGCTCTGCGCACATGCGTTTTGAAGTTTGCAACAGTTTGAAGGGCTCGTAGGCTTGAAGTCCCAGAAATGGTGACCTTGCACGATCTCAGATTGTCAGGACGTAACAGTCACGGTGGTTCGTCGTGTTGAAGTCCCAGGCGGTTTAGAATTGTCAGGACGCAGCAGTAGCGAAGTCCCAGGAATTACGCGTTGGCACGGTTGGGGATTCTCAAACGTTTGTCTATCAATCAGGCACTCCCCACAATGGAAATACTCTTTTGTAGGGACCCATGGGATGGGAAGTTTGAGGGGAGGGTTTACTGCAAACATCGTCGACGCGTCTTGGTTTTACTCTGGTCCTCCTCCTCCTCCTCCTCCTCCTCCTCCTCCTCTTCCTCCTCCTCCTCACCCCTCCCTCCCCCCCTCCCTCCATTCTGGGCCACCCCCAGGTTCATCTTCCCCAATCAGAGCTTGCCTCTGTAGGGGTCCTAGCGCATTCATATGGTTAGGTTAGGTTTGCCGCCGATTTTCGCTGCACGCCCAGGTGCCGGGGTGCCCGGGGGTGCCCGGGTGACCGGGCGTTCCGGAGGGTGCCCGGGGGTGCCCTATAGCCTTATCGCCCAATAGCCCTATAGCCATATAGCCCTACAGGTCTATAGCTCTATAGCCCTATAGCCCTATAGCTCAATAGCCCTATAGCCCTATAGCCGTATAGCCCTACATCTCTATAGCCCTATACCCCTATACCCTATAGCCCTATAGCCCTGTAGCTCGATTACCCTATAGCCCAATTGTCCTATAGCCCATATAGCCCCATAGCCCTACAGCCCTAAAAAGATTATGATTGGGTTTTTTCTCCGGTATCATTCTATTTCTCCCCCTCCCCTTAAGTCGGGGACGAGACTGCGGCCCTCTTAACGAGCGTGTACACGCAGCGCACACAGGCCAGCACCGTCGAGGCCGACCTTCGTCGCACGCCTCTGCCCGCCGCCGCCTCCCGCCCTCCCTTCTCGGGTGCTGACGAGGCCCAGGGGGCCCCAGGGGCTCCAAAATGCCATGGAAAGCCGGGGGCGCCTTGGTCCAGGGACATCTCTGGCAATCCCCGACCTCCCCCCCCCCGAGGATACGTCGTCCTGGGAGCCGCCCCCCACCCCGTCGCGCTCGCCGCCGGGCCGCCGCAGCCGGCCGCGGCCCGCGCCGAGCCGCCGCACACCGCGCCCACCGCCCCCGGCCCGGACGCGGCCGCCGGGTCTGCCGAGCTCGTCGGCCTCGCGCCCGCCGCGCACGGCGTCGTGGCCGACGCGGGCCAGGCCAGATGACTACGACGACGACAGCGGCGACGACGACGACGGCGGCGACGACGACGACGGCGACGTCGACGACGACAACGACGACGACGACGAGGACGACGACGACGACGAGGACGGCGACGACGACGAGGACGAGGACGACGACGACGAGGACGACGAGGACAACGAGGACGGCGAGGACGAGGACGACGACGACGAAGAGGACGACGAGGACGACGACGAGGACGACGACAACGACGACGAGGAGGACGACGACGACGACGAGAACGACGAGTACGACGACGACGAGGACGATGGGACGAGATCGACAACGACATGGACGAGAAGGAAGAAGAGGACGACGAGGAGGACGAGGAGGAGCATGACAACGACGAAGACGACGATGATCGTTTTGAGCGTTTGGAGCGTTCTGGGCCACGACTAGGCGCAGCTCGAGACTGGCCAGCATGGGCCGCGGGGGGGGGCAATGGACCGAATTCGAGTATTGGCAGGACAACGACGACGACGATCCCTGGGCGTAACATTGTTTGTCAGTCCGGGCGGCTTCGCTTGGCTTCGGGCCCATGGGACTGTCGCGGATCGATCCGGCTCGAAAAGTGCTTCAGGAAGGCGGGGTCTAGGGTCCTTGCCGTGCTTTTACACGGTGCTTGAAGTTTCAGCGCCGTCGGACCTCAGGGGTGGACGATCGACGGCCCCAGCATCTGGCGCCTCGGAGGGATTTGGGCGGCCGATCTGTCGCGCCATGTTTGGCTTCCAGGGGTGACCCGTCCCACTGGAGGCCAAACATGGCGCGCGCGACAGATCGGACGCCCAGGACACTCGAAACGCCAAAAAACGGTCGTCGTCGTCGTCTTCGTCGTCGTCGTCGCCGTCTCCGTCGCTGTCGTCCTCGTCCTCCTCCGCCTCCTCCTCCTCGTCCTCGTCCTCGCTCTCGTCCTCGGCGCCGCCCGCCCCTCACGCCCGCCCCCCCTCCGGGAGGCGGGCCTCGAGCTTCCCAGGGGGCCGCCGAGGCACGTCTCCGGGGGGAAGTCGGCCGGCCCTAGCGGAAGGGGGCCGAGAGGTATCCGAGGGCCCGCGCACCGGAAGAGTCGAAGCGCGCCGGGTGTCTCGGGGGGGCCCAAACTTGTCGACTACACGCAAGAGTGACCTTTCGCCGGAACGACCTCTGGTGCGGGCCCAATGGGGCCCTCAGATCGCCGAATGCGAGGCGAAGGCAGCGGCTTTGCGCGCCTGGCGGTGTCCCCAAAGGACCCCCCTGGGCCGCGCACTAAAGGTCACTCTTGCCTAGGTTCACTCTTGCGTGTAGCCGAACTTGGAGCCGGCTGGGGGTCTGAGGTAGCCCAGCGATTCGGGACGATCTACGTGGTACGGAAAGAATGGGTACAAAGGCCGACCGCCTTTTTTGGTTCACTGCGAGCAGGACTCGTTGTCGGTGTCGACGCGGACGTTGTCCACTTGAAAGAGAGGGCCCGCGTTGTCCACTTGAGAGAGAGGGCCGCCTGGCCAACAGCGGCCGCTGCCGGCTTTGGGTCACATCTGCTGCTGGGCATCGTGCCCCTGTCTTCCGTACAATCGGCCCGGATTAGTAGGTCGACCTTGCCAAATCGAGGGTGCTCTTGTATCGTGTGCCTCGCGACCCATGCCTCTTACATTCCTGTGGCAGCGTGGCCCTCGGAATGGTCTTGCGTCCTCTCGCGTGTCCTGTCCAACCAAGCCCGACGGTGCCCATTTCGGGCACGATGCCCCCGAGCAGGGCAGTCGGGTTGCTAGAAGTGCCCCTGGCCCAAGGTGCCCCCAGCTTCCCGCTCCATTTTGGAGCCCCTGGGGTCCCCTGGGCCTCGTAAGGGGTGCCCTGGAGGCCGCCTGGGCCACGCCGAGAATCCTGGGGGCACCTTGGGCCAGGGGCACTGCTAGCAACACCCGAGATAGGGAGGGGGGGGAGGGGAGGGGGGGGGGGGGGGCGAGCTCCGAGGGCCTGGGTTCGGGGAGGTCTCTGTTGCCCTGTGCGGCCTCCAGGGGGCCGTGCTCGGGCCCTGGCGGCCGTCGGGCACAGGGCCATGGTTGGAGACGTGCGCGCCGGGAGGAGTCCGGGGATCGGGTCCAGTTCCTCCCTGGCCTCCAGGGGCCCTGTTCGGGCCCTGGCGGCCGTCAGACACAGATCCGGGTGGGAGACGTGCGCGCCAGGAGGAGTCCGGGGATCGAGTCCAGTTCCTCCCTGGCCGCCTCCAACCCCAAGCGGTGTGGTGACCACGCCGCGTGGTGAGTCACCTCGGGCGGCTGGGGCCTCCAGGGTCCCAGCGCCGTGAGGTGACGGACCGCGTGGTGGGGACGTCTTGGACTGCGAGGTCACCGCACGGTCTCTCACCACACGGTTCTGGACCCCCAAGAGTCGCGGACCCGACGATGACGACGACGACGACGACGACGACGACGACGACGACGACGACGACGACGACGACGACGACGACGACGACGGACGACGACGACGACGACGACGACGACGACGACGACGACGGACACGGACGACGACGGACGACGACGACGACGACGACGACGACGGCAGTGATCGATGGATGGCGGACGATCGGCGACGATGACCCATAATGATTCAGAGCCCCGAGTGATCAGGGCAGGGCGCGGCCATGGGTAACTACACAACTGCGTCTCCCGCTTGTGTAGCAGGCTTTTCTGGGATGGTACTCAGCCATAATGTTTCCCGCATCGGATGTATGTGTTGCCCAGCGTTCCCTTTGCACAGGAAGTATCCGGGCCCATCGGTTTCGGTTCCACGAATCACACTGGGGTTACCGAGCAGGCCCCGCCCAAACCAGGCCCACCCCAGATCATTTGGCCGCATCTTCAGTTCGGAGGTTTTGGGAGGTTTCTGAAAGGTTCTCGTCGCCACGGCTGGGCGCTGCTCGGAAGAGTTGCGAGGGTGAAATCGGGGAGGTGGCCCATGTCAGCACAGCTCCCGCAGTGCAATGGGAGAGGCAGTAAGGGGGGGGTCACAGGCAGGGTAGCGAATCTCTGGCGATACGCCCCCTATCTTACACGATGCGCTAATTTTATGACCCCGTGCGCGAGCACAGCTGCGACGTCGTCAGCGTATTAGGCACGAGGAGTAGCGTCAGGAATGTTACCGGCGAGGCGCCACAGGGGGGCGTCGGATAGCACCGCGAAGAGCGAGGTTGACAATGGGCAACTTTGACGCACCCCAGCCGTCACAGAAATCCACCGAACTTCGCCCTGGATGCGACAATATTGCAATGGCTTTTCCGCGACAAAGCTCGCGCACCACGTTGGCCAGCCGTGCGCGCAGATCACTTTCATCAGGAACTCCTGGCTGACGCTCGGGAAGGCAGCTTCGAAGTCGAAGAACACCACCGCCGAATCTTCGCAGACACGAGAATGATGGAGCATCGCCTCTTCGATGTCCACAAGGTTAGCCAACATCGACCGGCTGTGGAGAAAACCTCGTTGCGACTCGGGAAGCCCAGGAGCTACATCCGGCTTGATTTGCATGCGGACCGCGTTGCAAGTGATCCTGTTGTCGGCGCTGGTGACGCTTAACAGCCGCACGTTGTTCGTAGTGATGATGCCCAAACCATCCGATTTGCAGCCCGACGGCTTCTTGGGGAGGAACACAATCAGACTCTTGTCAAAGGTCGTGCAGTCCACCTCCGGCGAAGTCATCCCGTAAGGGCCAGCGATGGCACGGAACGCATCGCACGGGTCCTCCGCGGCAGACGGGCCGAGTTTTCGCCACGCGTTGAAAGGAACACTGTCGCATCCGGGGGGGCGAAGTTCGGTGGATTTCTTTGACGGCTGGGGTGCGTCAAGGCTGCCCATTGCCATCCTTGCTGTTTGCGGTGCTGTCCGACGCCCCCCTGCGGCGCCCCGCCCGTCACAATCCCGACGCTGCTCCTCCTGCCTGCGCCGACGACCTCGCAGCTGTGCTCGTGCACGGGGTCACGGACGCCCCCGCCTTGGAGCGCATGTTCGAGCAGTGCGCGTTGCTTTCTGGGCTCCGGCTTCACCACGGTACGTCAGTGTGGGTACCGTTCTCATTGGTCGATTTGGGCGAGGTTCGGACCCAGCTCCAGGTTGCTGCCCCCGCCTGGAGCGACTTTACGATCTGCCGCCACGCCACTTACCTCGGATTCGCAGTGGGCCCAGAACGCGCCGAGCATACACGGGACAAGTCCTTGGATAATTTGTTGGTTCGAACCAGAATTTGGAAAGGCGTCGGGTGTGGCTTGCTGCTGACGCTCTTGGCTTACCGCACTTGCATGTTCTCTGTCCTTCAAGAGAGGAAAAACCACCCCGACACCGATAACTGGGGTTAACTAAGCGGTCCTGGGCGTTTCCTGAGCAGCCCTTCCCTGTTCGACTCCTCCCCTGGGTGCGTTTGCTACATGGCTTCGCTCGTTGGGGCGCTTATTTTGAAGGTGGATGTGCTGCTCTCCAGTCCTCTCCCTCGTGCTCCAGCTGGACCGACTCCCCCTGGACTGGGCAGTATGCCAGCAGAAGGCGTGCGCGATCCTCTTTCCGGGTCCGCCAGGCCGGGCCCCTCCCGCGGCCCTCCCGGTGCTGGCACGCCCTCGGTCTCCAGAGCTCGCTCCTCGACGCCCACGCGACGGCCGCGGGCGAGTTGCGACCATGGGATGCGGCAAGCAAGTCTGGCATGATCGGTGCGGCCACATTTTTTCCGCCAACCTCGTCCCGGCCCTCGGGCAGCTTCAACAGCAGCGACGCGAGCGAGGCTGTCGATCGCAGAAGTGATGCAGGGGGTTGCTTCTGAGCACGCTCCGC